GATGCGGGACTCAATCCAGGGACTCCAGGATCATGACCTGAGCCGAAGGCAGTTGCTAAACCAACTGAGCCACCCAGGCGCCCTTAAAATTAAAATCCTTAATGAGGGGCAGTTAACCACCATGTGCTTCTAGATGCAATAATCTAAAACACTTCAACATCGCTTACAAGTGTTTTGTCTGGTAACGTAAAACTTGAATCTAACTGTGAGGAAACCTCTGACAAACCAAAATTGAAGAACATTTTATAAAATAATTGGTAGTTGTACTTCAAAAACATTATCATGCAAGATAAAGGCTGAAAAACTCCAAATTAAAGAAAATTAGAGCTATGACAACTCAATGCATTATGTGATCCTGGACTAGACAACTGATAAAAGGTGATAAGGACTGTAGATCAGGGGAAAAATTTTAATAATACTATTCTTTGGACTGCATGTTTTTGTGTCCCCCAAAATTCATATGTTGAAACCCTGATTCCCAATGGGATGGTATTTGTGGAAATGGGACCTTTGGGAGGTAATAGGTCATGAGGGTGGAGCCCTCATGATGGGATTTGCGTCCTTCTAAGAAAGACACAAGAAGGCTTGCTTTTCTTTCTGCTCGCCATCATGCGAAGATCTAAGAAGACTGCAAACCAGGAAGAGTACCCTCACTGAGAACCAAGTCTGCTAGCATTTTTTTTTTTTTAAAGATTTTATTTGTTTATTCGACAGAGAGAGTGACAGGGTACAAGCAGGGAGGAGTAGTAGAGGGAGAGAGAGAAGCAGGCTTCCCGCTGAGTAGGGAGCCTGATGCAGGGCTCGATCCCAAGACCTTGAGATCATGACCTGAGCCGAACGCAGACACTTAACCATCTGAGCCACCCAGGCACCCCAGTCTGCTAGCATCTTGATATTGGACTTCCCAGCCTCCTGACTGTGAGTAATAAATGTTTGTTGTTTAAGCCACCTATTCTATAGTAAATTGTTATAAGCAGCCCAAGCAGACTAAAACAAGTACTATGGTTATGTAAAAGAAAATCCTGATTCTTAGGAAATACACACTGAAAACATTAAGGTGTAAGGAGGCATGATAAATGCAACCTACTCTCTGATGATTTAGAAAAATATATGTGTATCCTTATGTCTCTCTGTTAGTATAGAGAATATGATAAAACAAATGTTTTTTGTGCAATTTTTCTTTAAGTGTGAAATCATACAGAGATGTTTTGCTTCTGCTTAGGATTTTTCATTCTCTCTTAGCTTGTGTGAAGAGACATATTAAAAATGATTTAAATTCCTTCACAACTGCTCTTCAATAAATGGAGTTTGACAATTATTCTAACATGTACATTATCACAGAGGAAGTTAGAGAGATCTTAATACTTATGGTTGGCCAGCAAGACTGTTACAGTTACATCTACACATATACTATTGCAAGAAGACCAATTCCTTTAATGAATATAAAGCAGTTTTAATACTTTTGGTTGTCTATGGTGTTTTCAAAACTTGGGATGCCTGAGTGGCTCAGTCAGTTAAGTGTCTGTCTGTTTAAGTGTCTGCCTTTGGCCTCAGATCATGATCCCAGGGTCCTGGGATCCAGCCCCCCGCATCAGGCTCCCCACTGAGAGGAGAGCCTGCTTCTCCCTCTCCCTCTGCCCCTCCTCCCCTTGTTTTCTCTCTCCTTTGCACTGCTCTCTCTCTCAAATAAATAATCTATTTTTTTAAAAATTTTATATATTTATTTGATAGAGACAGAGAGCATGAGTAAGGAGGAGAGGCAGGAGGAGGGGAGGGAGAAGGAGGAGAGGGAGAAGCAGACTCCTCACTGAGCAGGGAGCCCAACATGGGGTTCCATCCCAGGACCCTGGGATCATGACCTGAGCTGAAGGCAGATGCTTAACAACTGAGCCACCCAGGTGCCCCTAAATAAATAACCTTTTAAAAAAACAACCTCTTATGACACCCGACAAGCTGAACCTCAAAAGTTTTGTTCAGTGGCTTTACATGGAGAAATAATGTTACTACAGTGCAAATACAGTTAATGATGATCCTCCAAGTATTTCTAGAAAGGGGGTAGTAAGTTTTGCAAATTACTCAAAAGGCACCAAAAACTACTCTCCCCATTTTACTCATACAGGCAAATATATCATTGCTTGAGGGGGAAAATGTCCATATTCTAAAGAAGTAATTATTACAGCTTGCTCTAATAAGAAAAGTGGCACATACTTCTGGTTTAACCATAGAAATGAACCACCCTCATTTGTCCCCTCCAACAGGCTTCTTTTCCTTATGTGCAACACTTGTACAGAATTCCAGACCTGAGAGGAACAAAGAAAATGTACCTATAGATCTATGGGCTAGTCATTTATACTCTTTCAGAGCCGAATGCTTTTTGTTCTGCTCCCATAACTCCCAGAAAATGATTATGTCAACTGGTTCCATGTTATCCTAAGATCCATCTTCTTCCCTGAAGAATATTCTGTTTTGGAATAAATGCCTATAAGTCCATTTCTTTATTAGAAATTGTTGAAGAGGCTATTCCAGTTGCCAGGTCTTAAAACCAGAGCATTTAATCCAAACCAAATATGGTTTTTAATAACAGAATTGCATGGGATGTATTTGTGCTTTTACTAAAGCATACTAAGATTTGGTGCTGTGTGTATATGAATTATTTTGCCCAAGCTGAATACCCCTTAAGTAAATTACAGGTTCATGCTACTTTCCCTTTTTTTCAGATTTATGAAAATACTGGATAATAATTCTCATTGAGGGTTTGAGCCTTTCTGATGCATTTAATTTGCCTCTTGGTGGCATTCTCTTAGTCAAGAACCTGGTCTCCAGAATCTTAAATGCTGTTATGCAGCCAATGTTCAGACAGATGGTTCTATAATCATTCAACACAAAAAGCAAGTCAATAGAAAACTGATGAAAACAAAACTAAAGTCGAAGCCTATACTTCTCTGTTACATGGTGAGTTGAAAGAATAATATCAACATAATGTCACTGATGTCGATCTAGAAATCTTTTATGATGTTGCTTAGAACACAGTCTAAGAACTAAATTTGAGGAGATATCAAAGCCAGTGATGGACTCTCTTCACAATCTTAACTCATAAAGCAAAATAATGGATCCATGGCCCTAAAAAAAATTTTCCTCAGTCACACAAAAAAACATTTCCCCATAGTTAAAAAGTCTCCATTTTGAACCCTGAACCAATCAGCAAACAACTCTACTTCTTCCAAATCTAACCAGTTTCCTACTATACACACTGGCCTTAATATCACCCATCCCAATCTCTTCTTAATTTCCTCAGACTGAGGGGCTCCTAAGCTTTGTCTATGGTTTCTTCTTCTTTGCTACACCAAGCTAAATAAACCTGGCTTTGTGGTAACTGTAGGCATGTCTCTAATATTCTATTAGTGGGTTTCACAGGATTTTCTTATGAACACATAGTCCCCCTACCCAGAAAAAAATTACTGTTAATGTGTAGGTAGTTTTCCTATTTCAGGCATGGCTTGGTGGTTTGACATGGTTCTGGTCATATTATATATCTTGCATTTTTGAAAAGTCAGAACTTAGAAATTTTAGCTAAACATTTTCAGTGGAGATAAAAACACTCTATAGTATAGAGTACATGCCAAAGCTTAACCATTTCATTTCCCAATCACTAGACATTTAAATGTTTTCCAATTTTTCTATTACAGACAAGTCTATGATAAATAATATTTTGCGTAAAGATTTTCCTACAGATTAAAGTGTCCTCAGGATAAAGCCTTGCAATGACAACTGAATTGAAGAGTGTGAGCATTTGGTGGCTCTAGCCACATAAAGCTTGTTTTCCAAGAGTTTTACCCATTAATTCCTACCTGTAACTGGTCTCTCGTTCTCAGTTTGCTTCTGGAATTCTCAAACTTAGGTAGAAAAGCAAATGAAATCATAAAGCACTTGCTGGAAATACAGGAAATACCAAATATTAAGGATAATTACTATAGACATAAATACTCAGATGGTAGATTTACATACAGACAGGGAAAAACAGGCATCTAAGATGTAAAAGAATTTTCCGGCTTAAAAGGTCCTTTTCAAAATTATCGGTGTGAAAAATAAGCCGGATTTTTTTGTAAGATAATAACGTGAGAAAAACCACACAGGTGAACATGAGTGAACTATTTTATAGAGGGCTTTTTGACTGTGAACACTAAAAAACGGTAAGCTATTTTAGTAAGGTAGTATCTGAGAATATCCTTGAACAGCACGTTATTATCACTGGTCTAGGGCTTAGTATTATAGTTAGCTAGGCCTTGGCCCCCTGTCATTTTAGGCCCCAGACTCTGTTGCTTCGCCAGGTTTCTTCAGGGCAACCTGGTGAGTGGAGCTCTGGTCCTCAATTTTCCTTCTCAGGTGTATTAATATATGCTATGGCTCAGAGAATGAAGCTAGGTGAGTAACATAAGGACACCTTGGATTTCTTTCCTTATCACAAAATTCAACTAAGCCTCCACATTCCAGGCCCACTGCAAAAAAAAGAAAAAAAAAAAGGAAAGGAAAAGGAAGATGAGAATTTAGCCCCCATCATCCGTATTTACGGCCAAAACTGATGCCGGTGAGCTTGGCTTCCACCCCCACACAATATCCAATTCCAAACCCCCCACCACAACCTCGTTACGGCCCTTCACTGTAAAACAGACCCTAGCCGGCCCACGGCTCTGCAAAGCTGCAGCTGACGTCAGCGTGGCAAAACGCATGCGCCACACCTTGGAGTCCTTTTCCTCTCTTTTCCACCGAAGCCGGACAGTCTCAGGAACGACCAGAACTACAACTCCCAGCGTCCTGCGCGGCCCCGGGAAGGCAGGCCGGGACTGTGAGAAAGAGGCTCCGGGGGATAGCGAGCCAGAGCCGGCTTCTCCTTTTGAAGCGGTTTCACACCTCTTTCCGCCCGCGGCGTCGGTGGCGTCGGCGGCGTCGGCTCTCACGCAGGGGCGGGTCACGGCGGCGCGAAGCGGTGCTGGGCGGGAAGGGAAGTCGTGGCGGCGGCGGAGGCGGCGGCAGCGGGGACAGCAGCGACGGCGGCGGCGGCGGGGGCCGCAGGAGCGGTGGTGCTGTCAGTTAGGCCGTCGGAGAAATGGGAGACCCGGCGTCGGAGGTGAGTGGTCGAGCGTTGGGTCGCGGCATTCTCAGCCGAGCGGGCAAGGGCTTTGTGTTTTGTTGGGTGTGAGGCCTGGTGCGCGGCGGAGCCGCAGCGGCGGGGCGATAGCCTCCGCGTCTCGGGCCGAGCCCAGCGTTCCGGCCTGGTGCGGGTCTGAGCGAGGAACCAGCAGTAACAATGGCCGCCCGACCGCCCCCGGCCCCCTGCGTCGGCCCCGGAGGTCGCTGTTGCGGCTGCTCTGGCCGTGAGAGCGACATTTTGAGACAGGCTCGCTCTTCGGCGGTGTGCGTGCATCCCTCCTCCTGGAGGAGATTGGGGAATTCGCGGGGGCTGGTAAGTCGTTTTCGGCGTCCGCTCCCTGTGGCTGCGCGTCTGCAGAGGCATAACCCGACTCCATCGAGTCCTGTTCTTGGTCGGATTTGCATGCAGTTGTGCCCAGTTCGGTTTCCTCAAGAGCTTGCTGTGTTACAGAGCTCTTCCTTTTTCGTTGCTTTTGGGACAAATCTCTTCCTCCAAGTACGTGGCTGTATATAGATAAGCATGTTCTGCCTTATCTTTATAGATAATAGAGTCTGTCCCTGCAGCCGGGCCTGAGGCATCTGAGGCAACAACGGATGAAAACGAAGATGACATTCAGTTTGTCAGTGTAAGTAGCAACGATATTCGGGTTTTTCCCAGAATCCCAAACCTATGCGTGGTAAGCCATTATGTGATGATACCTCACCTGTCCGTTCATCATTCAGCAGCGAGGTATGAATGTCTCGCAGGTACTAGACCCTGGGGAGCATGGCGTAGGATTAGGACATTTCCCGAAGGGGGTCTCTGAGCACCTGCAGTGGCCACCACAAAGACTGTGCCCGAAAGGACATGGTGCGCATTGAATCACGCTTCTCGTGCCTTCGTGAGCGCCATTTTATACTTCATCTAGGCGAAGTTCTGGTCTCTTAGAGTGCGTGTGGAAGCAGGGCAAGAGCGTCCTTTCAGAGATGACCTGCAGGTTAGAGGGAAGGGTCGGCTGAAGATGAGGAAGGAGGTAGAAAATGAGAAGGGTTGCAGGAACTCAAAATCTGAGTGTTCTGTAGCTTCATAACATGAAGGCAAGTAGCTTGAAGACTTCACCAACCTCTGAGATCATCATGTTACAGCATAGTACAAGAGTTGATGTTCTTGTAATAATGAAGATCCCTGCATCACCAGGAACACACATGGTTTTCAGACTTCCTTCCCTTTGGGACAGTGGTCTCTAAGCATTAGGAAGTGTAAATGTGCAGATTCCTGGGCCTCACTCCATACCTCCTGAATCAGAATCTGAAGGTGGGACCCAGGACTCTTCACTTTGGAACAAATGAAAGGACATACGAATCTGTGAACCATGTTATGTAAAGCCTTGGTTTAGGGGGGAGGAGGTTATGATTTATTTTGGGATGGTTTTCACCCAAAACTGTAAAGTTGTGCAAAGTCTCTGTTTAAAGCGGTATCTTAGGGGAGCCTGGGTGGCTCAGTTGTTAAAGCGTCTGCCTTCAGCTCAAGTCTTGGTCCCAGGGTCCTGGGATCGAGCCCCACATCGGGCTCCCTGCTTGCTTCCCCTCTCACACTCCCCTTGCTTGTGTTCCCTCTCTTGCTGTCACTCTCTCTCTGTCAAATAAATAAATAAATCTTTAAAAAAAAATAATAAAGTGGTATCTTAGCTAGCTAAAAACTGCTCCAAACCAGTGATTAGTTGAAGTTTGCTGTTCAAGGTGTATAATTTTTCTTTAATAGATTGTCGGATGTGTATTTGTGTTCATTGATTTGGGGCACTTTGTTAAACTGGTTATTAAATGATATCCTTTACATACCCCAACATTAGGGCCATTGTGGTGGTCTGTTGTTGTATTGTGGTTTAATGGGTTTATTTAGGAGTCTTTACAAGATTTTGTGGGAGGGAGGCAGCTTTCTTCACCATTGCCAGTGCATATTGTGCTTTGTCCTTTTATTTCAATTCCAGTATAGTTAACATACACTGTTATATTAGCTTCAGGTGTTCTCTGTCCTCACTTTAACTTAGAAGGATTTCCGGGATGGGGTGAATCGAATTGTATCCTGCCCCTTCTTCACAGTGGACTAAAATATGTTGGTAATGGGATTCCATGTTCCTTAGGACAAATATTTCAGGTTTCTGAATATTGGTATATTTGGAGAATATTTATCTTGATATTTTGTGCAAATAAAGGAATGAGATACTTTATAAACTGTGGGCCTTGCTTTGAGAATCACAGATGGAATTAATAAAAAGATTTGAAATCTTTTTTTGGTACTTGCGGAGTGAAAAATTATAACTTGGGATTAACAAGCTTAATAAGGTATTAAGCTGAAGTTTAAAATATTCTTAAGTTTTAAATAGTCTTTTAAATTTTAAACGTAGAGAATCTGTATATCTTTGCCTGGAGAATAAAAAATATACAATCAATGCATTGTGTATTCATCTTGATCCAACATCTGTTTATCCCTAGGGGTTGGCAAATAAAGATTCAAAGTTCTGATAGTGCAAGTGAAGAATTTTTATGTAATAAGTACAATTACAATAGTAGAAGAAACCTATTAAAAACGTTTCTTCTACATTTTTAGTGATAACATTTAAATGATAATTAATAAAACCTTAATTCTATTTCAAAATAAATTCAGAGACAGAGCCTTCTGCTTCTTTCTGTAAACTAATCTTATACTTGACTCCTTCAGGTAATGCTTATGCAATAAAGGTAACAAACTGTTCTCTGCTTAAGATTTCTTCAGATACAAAAAGGGCATTTTGGTGTTGCTTCTTGATTTACTCTGGTTTGAATTTCTTAGTTCACTCTCATTAATCTAATTTTCCCATCTTTAATCCACATGGTGGCACAGCAGTCTTTATGTGGTTTGCAAAATATATAGTGTCTGGAACCAAACAGCATGCTGAAGGGACGGAATAATAAGGCTGTGGAGGTGCAAAAATGAGTTCTTTCACTTGCATTTTTTTTTTGAAATGTACATACAGAGAACTGCACTATTTGTAAGTGTTCTGTTTGATTTTGCAAAGTCAGTAACTTTGTGATCTCAAATGAGAATGTTACCATAACAAAAACTTCCAAGATTTTGCTCTCATTTTCTGTTAAGTAGTATAGGTATGTCTCCACCCACCCCGTGCCCCACACCCCACTATTGGAAAGTAGAAATCTTTGAAACCTATGAAAACTTCCATAAACTAAGATGGCATAAAGTGAAGAAGCAATTACCATTAATTTATGTGGAAAGTTTTTTAGCATTTCCAGACCAAAAAAATAACCCCTTTTAGGCTTTTTTGATACCTTAGGACACATCTTGCTAACGGATGCATGAAATAAATCAAGATATGGTACAGGCGCTTGCAGATAATTCAAAGCTGTGGCAATGAGATGTTGAGTTTAGTTCCCAGGGAAGGAGCTCGCTTGGCCGTGCTACTCTCGCTACTTGGGGTGCATGCTGCTTCTATAATGGCTTGCAACAAGACAAACACTGTACAGTAGTTTGGCTTTTTAAAAAAAATTTTTTTTGTATAAGCTAAAATCCTCTTCAGATTTCCTTCAGTTAGTGAAAATGGGTACTAATGTAGGTTTTTTGTTAAAGTGAAGTGTTGTTGAATGCAAGCTTTCCAACAGTGAGAATACCTCTCTGATCCCTTATTCAGCCATCTTTCTGTCTTTGAAACTGCAGATATTTTAGTTAATTTTACTCCCAGAAAACTTATTTTAGCTAAGAGCTGATGACATTTTCACAGTGCTACTTTAGCTATAAGATATAAAAACTGCTGAGACAACGTATTGTAATCTCAGTAATAGCTCATGAGATTTAGGTTTCAGCCAAGGTTATCAGTATTATGTGAAATCATTGAGCACGTAGAAATAGTGAAGAAAACCAAGGTATAATTTCATAAATAACTTCAGAAGCACGTAGGTGAAAGCCTAGTACTTTAACTACAGTAGAAAGGAGTCATGGGCAAAAATATCAAGGTATCTTTTGGCTGGGTATCTTGGGCCTGTAATTAGATCAGTAAATAAAAATAATGTTGGAGCTCATGATATGCAAAATCATGAAGGAAGTACTCTAGAACTACAAAGATTAATTGGAAATATATCCTACCTATAAGTGTCCATATTTTAATGTGGGAGATAAGATAGGTGATGAGAACTGTGTAAATAGTTCTAGTAGAGGGATGCCTGGGTGGCTCAGTCGGTTAATCAACTGCCTTCGGCTCAGGTCGTGATCCCAGAGTCCTGGGATCGAGTTCCGCATCAGGCTCCTTGCTTGGGGGGGAGCCTGCTTCTCCCTCTGCTGCTCCCCCTGCTTGCAGGCATGCTCTCTCTCTCTCTCTCTCTCTCTCTCACAAATAAACAAAATCTTTAAAAAAAGAAGTTCTAGTAGAAAGTAGTTCTTTTATAAAAAGTACATGGTGCTGTTTTGAAAAAAGGCAGACTTTTTGGCATAAATAACATTTAGTATTTGTATTTAAAAGCGCATTTTGAAAAGAAATAAGGAAAGCATCAAGATGGGAAAAGCAGAGAGGATTATGTGTAGTTCTGGAGGATAGAAATTTTTTAAGTAGGAGAGGAAAGGGTGGGCCAGATAGTGTAGATGTTGAATTGTGGACTAAATTTGAACTTAAGTAGTCAGTTGGGAACCATTTGAAATTTTTGAACTGGGCAGGACTACAGAAGTAAACTATATCCCTAACTTCTATATATGGAAATACATGAAAAAAGCACATGTATTATATATAAGGTTTTGTTTTATTTATTTATTTATTTTTAAAGATTTTATTTATTTATTTGACAGCGAGAGAGGGAACACAAGCAGGGGAGTGGGAGAGGGAGAAGCAGGCTTCCCGCTGAGCAGGTAGCCCCATGTGGGACTTGACCCCAGGACCCTGGGATCATGACCTGAGCCGAAGGCAGACGCTTAATGACTGAGCCACCCAGGCGCCCCTATATTTAAGGTTTTAGATTAGAGTTGTGCATCTATGCTCAAATCCATATTCTTTGTTTTAGACTGGGGTAAACTACATTTCTTGTAGACCATATCTTAGTGTATTGACATGCACTTACACTTAACCGTCAAGCGACGTGGGTTTGAATTACATGGATCCACTTGTACGCAGATAAGATTTTTTACAGTACTTTAAATGTATTTCCCTTACAATTTCCTTAATATTTTGTTTAGCTTTATTGTAAGAATACAGTATATAATATATACAACATACAAAATATGTGTTAACTGTTTGTTATTGGTGACACTTCCAGTCAACAGTAGGCTTTTAGTAACGTTTTGGGGGAGTCAAAAGTTCTATGTAGATTTTCAATTCTGTGTGGTGGGAGGGAGGCTCAGAGCCCATAACCCTCATGTTCTTCAAAGGTCAACTGTAGTAGTAGGTAATTGGTGTCTGGCTTTGTATGAGAATCATTGTTCTGACAGGAATGAAAGCATTTTGTGTCATTAAAAATTTTTTTTTTACTTAGAATATTAATTCAGCTGTGTTCCTAAACTATTTTGCTTGTGCCTGTGCTCCTAGCCGTAATTATGTGGCCTTGGGGAGTAGAATCCCTTGATTTTGTTACTGGTACAAAAGGGATGAGAAGAATGATGGTTTACTGGTTGATGGTTGGAGCAAATTCAAATAAAAACCTTTAGTTGGAGGACTACATGGATTTATACTTGTTAAGAACATAAGCAGTCATTATAAACATTTTAAGAAACCATGTTTGACATTTATATAATAAATATTTTTGGGGGGAATTAACTTATTTTTTGGTTAGTGTTATGAGTTATTCAGAGTTGGGGACAATAGTGGTAAGTCCCATTTTCTCTTATTGAAGGAAAACAAAGTATCTCAAAAACTTAGGTAATAAGGCATTGATTTAAAAATAGTATGTAGGGTTGCCTGGCTGGCTCAGTTAGTAGAACATGTGACTCTTGATCTTGGGGATGTGAGTTCAAGCCCCATGTTGGATACAGGAATTACTTAAAATTTAAAAAAAAATTGTTTTTTTAAGATTTTATTTACTTATTTGACAGAGAGAGTGACAAGTAGGGGGAGCGGCAGGCAGATGGAGTGGGAGAAGCAGGCTCCGTGCAGAGCCCGATGTGATGCGGGGCTGAGCAGGGTCCTGGGATCATGATCTGAGTTGAAGGCAGACACTTAACCCACTGAGCCACCCAGGCGCGCCCCTCCCCCCCCCAATAGTAGTATGTATACTTTGAACTTAGCCTCAGAATTATAATGACCACACAGCCAGTTACATATTTAGAGAACCAGGTGTAGCTCACTTAGTTTTCTCATTTGTTAAATGGAATAATAGTAATAATTCACTATTTCACCTTGTAAAGTAATTAGGGATTAAATGAAATAATGTATATGAAAAGTTCAGCACAGTGCCTTTGTAGAGCCCATACAGCAATGACAAATGTTATTGATTAGTAGTAAAATAAATGGAATACTAAAATGTTTTGATTCTTTAAGTTATTATGTTAAAACTTTTCCCGTATCCAGTGTGGAAATTAGCTAAAGTGTAGAGTGTTTGTTTTTAAGTAATATTTTCCTTTGGGATACTTCTCTTTTTAACCCAGCCTCTGCCTTTTTGGTTGTCTCAAATATGTGTTTTCATCTTCTACTACTCTTTCGCTTATAAGTTCACAATTATTTGTTGAGTGAATGGATACGTATTTTAAATGACTTTTGGTTTTTCTCATTTTTGGTTTTTCTATCTTGGCTCTTTTTATTCTTTTAATTAGTGTGAATCATGAAGTTATTTTTCTTCAGTAGTTCAGAAATGGTTGCATATTAGTCTAATGGTTCACCCCAGTAGTAAATCTCTAATAGTCTTCTCTCATCATTCCCTGCTCTTGTCCTTTCTACTATTTCTGCAGCTGTTTTTAAATCCCATCTGTACCATTTTCCTTATTCTGGTTTTTTGTTTTTGGGGGGTTTTCTTGTTTGTTTCTCCCCATTCTACTTTTTGCTTTACGTTCTGTTACCTTCTTTCATCTCTCTTTTTTTCCTGTCTGTTCATGGAAGCTTTCTCTGCCCCACCTCTGTGTATTTCTGATAACCTGAGACTTTTCTTGGTGTGCTGTTTCTATGGACGTACATTTCTTGAAGAGACAAAACGTGATGTGATTATATGAACAGGAGAAGCTATCATATTTTACTTCTTTCTTTTTGTGTTTTGTTTTGTTTTTTGTCTTTTTTAATTCTTATTTATTTATTTGACACACAGAGAGAGAGACAGCTAGAGAGGGAACACAAGCAGAGGGAATGGGAGAGGGAGAAGCAGGCTTCCCGCGGAGCAGGGAGCCCGATGTGGGGCTCGATCCCAGGACCCCGGGATCATGACCTGAGCCGAAGACAGATGCTTAGTGACTGAGCCACCCAGGCGCCCTTCTTTCTTTTTGGATTGAATGTATGATATTGCCCATAGCAGTGGTAGATTTTAGTCTTAAGGTAGGTGACTCATCTCTGTTGATCGTAACTGGAAAATACTCTTTCCCTCTTTTCTAAACCTCCACTTTTACAGCTCAGGCAAAAATCTTAATTATTTATTACATGATCCCTGCCCAGAAGTTCTGCTCTCTGGTTTTATTTTAGTGGCTAGATATAAAACCTATCTGAAAGGATAGCAGTTTTCTGCTTGGGGAGAAGTGGTAGCCTAAGAGAGAAACAAGTTATGTTTGAGACTAGATGCCTCCTCTCAGGAAGAGGATCTTTAGATCTTAGCTTCTGTCTCCTCTCTTCTTTTTCTGTTAGTTTTTACACCAAATATATCACTTTGGTTTGCCAACAGTCAGCTTTCTGCATCTTAAGAAATCTTTCCCTCAGCTGAATTCGCCTCCTATGTTCCTTACTCTTGTTCTCAACATACTAGATTTTTAAAAATAATATTCTTTTACTCTTCACTCAATACTTTATTCTTTACTGCCTCTTTTTTAAGATTTTATTTTTAAATAATCTCTACATGCAGCATGGGCCCGAACTCACAACCCCAAGATGAGACTGCATGCTCTGCCGACTGAGCCAGCCAGGTGCCCCTACTGCTTCATTTTCTACTTAATTTTTTTAGAGCGTAGCTTCTGTATGCTTGCTACTTTATTAAAAGTTGCTCTCAGGCATTTTAAAAATCTTGTTGCCAAATTCAGTGGCAGTTTTTTTGGTTGTCAGCATTTTGGGCCACATTAGCATTGACAACTTTTTGTTGAGGTTTTCTCTAGCTTCTTTGAATTTATGCATTCCTGATTCTTTTCCAGCCCCTGATTACCTGCTTAGCAGTTCTTCCTGAGTCCTAAAATTCGGGCATTTTCTCGAGAACCTTCTTAAGTCTCTTCTTTCTTCTCTTTGCTTTCTTTGTTGACTCTGTCACAGTTTCAGTTTAGTCTTTTAGGGGAGCAACTCCCAAATCTGCTTATCTAGCTATGGTCATACATCCAGATTACAGCCCTGCATTTCCAGCTATCTGCCAGTTACCTTTGGGTACCACTGGTACATCAACCCATTATGTCTAAAAGAATGTCAGCTTCCTGTTTCTGTATTCCAGATTTATATTAAATGGCATTAGTATCCTTCCAGTTGCCCAAGCTTGAAATTCTAAGGACTTTTTTGATTCCTTGTTATTGTTGGGGTTTTGTTTTGTTTGGGAGGGGTGTGTGTGTGTTTTTTATAGCCAATCTTTTTTTTATTTTCATTATACCCATGTATTCTCTTATATGTGTACCACAACATATTCTTTTTGCCATTATTTTAGTTTTGTATTATTGGACTGATTAATTATCCTGCTCTCCCCACTTTCCATACTTGTCTGTGTGATATCTATTTAAAGCACAGCTCTCATGTTTTTCCTATCTTTGTATTTATTGATTCCCTTTCGCCTGTAGAATAAAATCTAGGCATTTAGGCCTAGCATTCAAGGCCTGGTCTGTGATGCAGTCAGAATGGTTCCAAAGAGGATGAAGAATCAGGTTTCATGTTTGACTATAGGAGTGGGAGATAAAGCTGAGCTGTTAGTCAAAGAACTGCATGTTTTTGAACTTGGTTATCTAACATAGTTAATACTCATCCCATCTAAAAAGCATTGAATCATACTATCTGCTATCTGTGTCCTTGTAGCAGTGTTCCTTTATTGTTAATCTTTTCCTCAAAAAATCAACATTGTCGTAATATTCTACCAAGGTTTAAACTCTTAGATCTTATCGTTTCTTATTATGCATGTATCTGAATATTTTTCTGTTTGTTCTGATTACTTTCTGCCACCCATAGGCTTCTTCTTTAGAGGAATTTTTGCCAATCCCAACCAAAAAAGTGATGTTTTAAATGACTAGTTCGAATAACTGTACATGATTTGTTAATTTGCTCAATTCTTTCATAGGAAGGACCATTACGACCTGTTCTTGAATACATTGATCTGGTCAGCAGTGATGATGAAGAACCTAGCACCTCTCATAGTGATGTAAGTACATTATATTTGATTTGCATTTCTTTCACTTCTGTCATTTAAAAGACATTGCCTAAAGAGAGTTATCAAGTCAATGATCACTGTTTTTAGGAGCTATAGTATTTTAGAGAATGGCCCGTTTCTGTAGAATGAACCACAAAAGGTGTCCAATGAGTCCTGGCCCAAAATATCTCCTACTTCCAGTTTTGTTTCTTTACTTTCAGTGAGGATGTGAAAGGATAACACAACACAGGAAAGTTCTAAGCCTTGAAGATGGTATCTGATAAAAGGAAAATGGAATAAAAACTGCAAGCTTCTTGGCTCCTTGTGCCCTTCTCCCTTCTCCTTTCCTGTCTCTCCTCAGGTGCCATGTATAACTGGATCCTTTTCTTCCAGAACCACCTGGCCACAGAAAGTTTGTTTTACCTTGGAAGGAAGGATATGTGAAGATCCTTTAGGAAATGGAATGTGGGAAAGGATTTAGGTGGTGTAGTACTTCAGTCGTCACTCCTTTTAACCTTGTTTATCCCTCACATATTTAAAGTTTTTTTTCTCTTACCTGTGATTTTTCTAGTTGTGGGTTTGACCCTTAAACTAATACTTCCCTTACTCTGAGAATCAAACTAGCTGAGCCCTTGGTAGCAATCTTGTCTTTCATTTGTTTTAGCCCAAATTTCTATACTGGGTTATTTTCTTGATGGGTTGAGAACTCCTGGCTCTTGTTCAAGGTGGCCAGAAGACTTCTTTCTCTATGATACAGGGGATTGAGACTTGGACTTGGAATCAGTATACATAGGTTTTAGTCTGAGCTTTACTCCTTATTAATTCTGTGACTTTGGATAAATTAAGAAGCCTTTAATCTTAGTTTTTTTATCAAATAAGAGTAATACCTACCTCACAGGGTTGTTGTGAGGACAAAATGAGGTACAAAATACATAATGTAAGCTCTTTGGAAACTACAAACAATAAAGTAGGACTATGCAACTGGAAAGTTTTGTTATTCATGGAGACTGAACAGGAGAAAATTTTAAAGGGGCTTTAAAGTGACTGCAGCGGGGACTTTTAGAAATATTTTTTGTTCTCAGTGGAACTTTTCTCAAGTCCTCTGTACCATTTTTAGCTTCTACTTGTTGACTTACATACACTGAATGGGATTTTTTTAAAAAGATTGTTAATCACCAGTAGTCTCACCACCTCTTCGTATCCTAGCATGGGACCAAGCAGCAGGCCAGGATGGCAGCACTTGAACTGGGCTTGTTTTCACTCTCTTTTTTCATAGACAGAGTGCCACAGTAATGGCCATAGTTGGTATTGGGTTTTTGGGTAGTGAAGCTTGTGGATTTGACTTCTGTGATCCCTTTGCTGATCTGTAGTGGATTGCATCTTTCATTGTTGTTATAATAATTTAAAAAATTGAGTTCTACTTACTGGACATGCATCTCTGCACTTGAAAGTTAACATATTAAAAGCATTTTTTTTTCTTCCTTGGTTTTCTTGTTCATGTGGATAACCCAGAGAATGCCTGAGTCTAAGGTGCCATCCTCTGAGAATCATCGCCCAGAAATGTGCTCTAGCTGCAGTGTTCCTCTTCCCATTGGAGACAGCAGCTCCTCCTCTGGGAGTTGCACCAGCAGTCCACAAAGGATAGTTTCTCAACCTTCTTCTGTTGAGAACCCATTGGAGAACCAGAAAAATGATCAAAATAATTCAGATATTAAGATCTCTGAGACAGAGACACTTAAACCATCACAAAATTATCAGACTCTGCCTTCATCTCCAGTTCTGGTCCCCCAAGAATCTTTGGCCTCTTCAGAGGTCAAGGAGGATTTACCTGTAGAGTCTTCTTCAGCTTCACAGCATGGACAGGATGCCATCCTTTATCTTCAGACACAAGTGGCTGAGATGTCCCGAGTGATCCGTGATCTGCAGTCTAGGAGCTGTTTTAGATTTCATCATTCTAGGCCAAGTGAGAACTCCTCAGTGCCATGGGATATCTCCACCTCCAAGGATGAAAATTTATCCACAGTTGATGAAGAAGCTGACTGCAAATCCCCCTCAGCTGATGACAAAGGGCAGCCAACTGACCCCAGTCAGTCTAGTTTCACAGGTCTTTTGAAAAGAATGGAACAGAGAGGTGTTATAAAGAGAGTAACGTTACAGTCTGAAGCAGAATCATGTGAAGGGAAGCCTGATTATGTGACCTCTAAGAAACGTTTGGTTCCTCCATTGCATCCTCTTCTGAGAATTGCCACCACTGAGGTTTTTAAAGACCCTGCTGATTGCCATCCTTCTTCCTTCATGGGGCACAGGGTATATCCTGTGGCCAAGGATACCTCTCCTTTCCAACCAAATCCACCAGCTGAGGGCCCTATTGTAGAAGCATTAGAGCACAGCAAAAGAGGAAGCACAACATCTCCTCTAGATTCTACCTCAAAAGAAATGGAGGTCATGGGTTGTAGATTCTACCATGCTGCTTCCATTGCAGCCCGAGCTGCTAGCTACATGGCCTATATGACTCAATATCAGCGTAAACTCTGGGAAGATATGGAGGATCTGGTTCATGACCCAGAGTTTGATCGTGGAAAAGCAAGATGTATAATATCTGATGGTATGGATGCAGGCCTTTGGCAGCTTTGTACTACTAGGGACATAATGGATTCTGTAGTCAGAGTTATGGCAATGGCAATAGACTACAGAAGACAAGCCTGGCTCCGACTTACATCTCTCACTAAGAAAACCCAGGAGAAGATCTCACACTTGCCCTTTGATGGTACTTCCCTCTTTGGCCAAGATGTGAATGCTGTTGTTGCAGAAGAAAACAGTATTAAAGAAAATGACTATAGAGACCACAACAAATACTATAACCAACATCGATACTTTTATAGTCATGATCAGAAAGCACATTATCACAATAGAGGATATTCCAAAGGAGATTGGTACAAACCTCGAAACCACCCCTATAGATACAGAAAAAAGGGAGAATCCCCAGAACGCCATGGGTACAAGAATTAATAGCCGGTTCGCGTTCAGCAGCATAGTCATCCAAGATCCTATTTTACTTGCTATTCCCCACTCAAACAGGATCTACAGGTAGGAGTTCACCTCAGAAACTGATGCATGTCTGGAATTATCACAGCTAACATTTAAATTCTAGACTTTTCAAATGAAGTACATAATAAAGAGACTCATGTTTTATTGGCCAAGTGAGCAGTAGAGACTTTCATCTAAGTAGGGTTGGACAAAGGTTTACCCATTATTTCTGGTCCAGAATAAGTTCAGAGGAGGGTACTCAGGAATCTGAATCCTCTTGTGATTAAAGAAAAATAAAAAGATTTGTTCCTCAGGAAAATCTTACTGGTAAACTGAGGACTAGCTGATTTGGGGTCTGGAAATAACCTACTATTAGATCTTTGTTTACTAATACCAGAGGCAGATCCTTCGTTTTTAGGTCATCAATGCTTCCTTGTTCAGGCGTCAGCTTGTCAGATCTTCACAAAATGACAAGTCTGTTGTACTCTGTTTATGTCAGGATGATCAACTTATCAAGAGTCCATTCTACTCTCAAGCTCTCTCAGACTTCAGAATCAACCATGAAGCTGTATGTCAAGAACTGGAATACAAATAAAATTTTGCCAAATCCAGTTTGCTTCCAGTGGGATGGCTAGATGTTACAGGTCTACTGTGGACACCAGCTGGAAAAAGACTTTCCTACCTGTAACATCTCTAGAAATTTTCACAGTAACTATCTTTATCGAGACTGATGGCTACCGTGTCATTACCACTCAGAGCTACATGCGAGAGAATTCTTTGTTATCATCACGCCTAAGTCTCCGTCCTATCAAGCTCTCAGATATAAAGAAGCTGTGAGACCCAGTCATGGTGTTCTCTCAGGATATTCTGGGCCTTTCACCAAGATGACCTCCTTAAACAAACCTACCTTCTAAACAGTTAACTTTTTTGAGCTTGATAATTCATCACTCTAAACACAAAAAAGATATGTACATTAGTGCCCTGGATGTAAAGGATGTTATACCATCCAGGCATGCAAATCTGAACTCTATAAGAGAATTCCAAACATGCCTGACAATCTGGTCCTCTTATTGAAATAAAGAAAGAGGGATGCCATCAAACTAAATGATACTGAGAATTCTTAAGTGTTAAGAGTATTACTGTGGATATCATAAAGAGAACATCTCACACAGCTCTGTTTCTGGATATCTATGTAAATGATATCCATTAGAGATTTCTTAAAAGTCTGAAATCGAGACTTCAACAACATGTTCTTGGTTTACTGGTCCCTTAATCTAGTCAGACTCTTATCACGAGAGACGACGTATGTTTTTGCTCCCAGTTGGTTCCATTAATAGTTCTTCACAATTCTGGAACTGGCAGCAGATACCTCAATTGTATATCCCACAGTATCTTTTTAATCTCAAGGCAGTGGCTGTACAGTATACCAGCCCTTAGATCCTCGTTTTCGCAGCATGACTTCAAAAATGGAGAAAGTGTCAAGTTTGAGGGGTCTGAATACATCACCTAGTATTATTTGCTTGGCAGCCAAAAAAAAGTTTTTTTATCAATAGACTTAAAATTTTGTAACTTGATTTGTCAAACATCTTCATTTATTTCATCTGCTTGATCAGAATATTTTGGGTCTACTGTTAGTGGAATATAACACTGTTTTAGGGTTCATGTGGTTTCTGTTTCTTGCCATAGTTCTTGCACAGTGGTGATTGACATTTTCCCTAGTGCCCCACTTTTTGATGGTTGAAGCTCATTCCCCCTCCATTGTAACTATCTTCACCCTTTACTACTATTCTTCCTCTCCCTATTTGTGCTAGAGGTTGAAGACGCAAACATCCCTACTTAGAAGAAGCTATTTTATTTTGCAGATAATTTCAGAGTACTCTATTGGTCCTATTTTTAGATTAAGCCTAAACAACAGGCTTGATATAGGAAATCGTCTTGCAAGCAAATTTGGTCAAGTCATATCTAGAGTTAGCATATACCTTTATTTTTGTATATTTTCCACAGTGTTTTACTTCTGCCTTTTTTAGGTCCATGTCAGTGATGTAGAAACTCTCTCAAATTAAACTCTAGAAGAGCATTGATTAACTACCTTAACAAGGGCCTAAAAAAAATCATAGATTTTTATAGTTTACAATATATATCACATCAGTCAAGCAGTCTCATGTGCCCTTGACATGGCACTGTAGGTTTTTTATGAAAGGAATAGTCACAGGTGAACTTACTGGAGAGAGGAGACCTTGGCACTGGTCTATGTGGCTGCACAGTTGTTCCCAATTAGCCAAGGCTACTTCAGTCTGTTCCCACTTTCCCATTTCTCCCCTTTCTTTCCCTGAATTAGATACTGGGTTACAAATGTGATGATTTTTGAGGTACTCTTATTTTCCAAAATCTAAACCAAAATAAATGATGCGTGAAGATGTGATTCTCTGAAACTGCTATGGCATTTCCACTTAACATGCTCCTTTTCAATTTTTTGTTTTGAATTGTCAGAAAAAACAACATAAAATTCACCACCTTAACCATTTTTTAAGTGCACAGTTCACTAGTGTTTGCTGTATTTATATTGTGTAGCTCCTCCTTAAATATTTATAAAACAGCATTGCTATTCTCTTCCTCTTGTGTTATTTATGTTGCTCAGTATTAAAGTAACATTGCTTTACCACTCTCTGACTGATAAGCGCAAACGTCTCCAGAAAATTTTCCTAGAAGTGGAAAGGTATTGCGGAATCATCGAATTGTTGATCAAGTAGATAACTTCTGAAAGGGATTTGTTAGTTGAGTGGGGACTGTCTCAGAATGCAGTAGAATGGGAACAGCTTTTAGCTATGGATGAGTTGGTCTCTTGATTGCAGAAGAAACAATATCTTTAATCTGTTTGTTTTAAAATCTTTCTCTGGCATACTTGGATGATGATGGTGTTATAAAATACAAGGGGGACTTGGTCTGAGGAGACAACCCCTAAAGCATATGGAATTCAAAATTGGATACTAAGTTTTCATACTGTGCCTGCCACAGGATGCTCCATTAGGTAAACCTTGGATGTTTAAATATCTCTAGATTTTCTAGGAAGCTTTGGGATAATTGCAAATTTAATGATTTGGTATTCTCACTGGGGATGCGTCTAATGATCCTTTTTCTTCAAAATGTTATTTCTCCACCAGACATAAAATGTATGTGAAGACAATATGATTTCTTGCAGTTATTGTGTACAGAGAAACTGTTTCCATTGTTATATGAAGTGCCTTTTTAAATTTCACCCTGTTGTTTAAAACTTAACATTTTGATGTCATGCATATGTTGCTGGTGATATTTATGTGAGTTCTGTACAGTGACTTTTTTTAATCTTGTAGTTTATTCATCATCTGTACAATTGCACTAAATGTACTCTCCTTCTGAATGTTAATTTGTTTTCTCTATAGCACTGTTAATCCATTTCAGAAGGTTGTAGAGTATGCCCCTCCCCCTTTATTTAAATAACTTCAGAGTAGTTCTTGTTCTTTTTAGTTATTAGTGATTGGCTCAGTTTCCTGAGCATTATGGCAGCTTTGTTTTCTATCTGCACGTTCTCGATTTTCGGATTGAGTCATTTGTCTCATTAACTAACCTTGTTCTAAGCCATGGTAACGCAACTTATATTTGATAAGTGGATGTGTTTACTTGGTAAGAAGAAACAAGAGTATTAGGAAAAGCAGTAAATTTGCTGACACTTTATCCTTTCTTTTTAGACCAGTGTGACAGTTTCCTTATCAGTGTAATTGCATTTAAACTTTTTTTTTTTTTAACTGCGTGGCAGCTTCTTTATAATTCCATTTATTTACTTAGCTCTCAAAATAACATTTTGAGGGGAACATAAACTCTTTCAGGATACTTGGATACTATTTAGTATATTACATTAGTACTATACTAACAATTTACTGAATGATACCTAAGTGACCTGATTGATAATGTCCTTAAGGGCCCAATACATCAGGATAACCTCTCAGGTACTAAATGAGGAGGTTGGAATAGACACAATCCAGAATCCCTTCTAGTTATAAAATTGGATACAGAGTTAAATGACATGGATGAGCAGAGTTAAATGCCACATTCACTATTCTTGAGGATATAATTTGGTGGGATTCTGATGAAGGTTAGAAATCATGGACTAGAACTTTGTAGAAATAGTTTAAAGATTGCAATAACTGAAAACTTTTTTTTTTAACGTGAGGCATATTTTGCCCCAGACTTGCACTGTTTTAGGTTTCCTTGTCTTTTGAAATTTACCATTCTTAATGTTAGTGGCTAGTCCAATAATTGATTGTGATATCTTTGTGCATCTTATGCATGTCATTCAGTTGGCCAGGTCCATTCTATATAGTTTCCATTTGTGGATACAGAAACCAATCAATTCTTCCGTTTTTCACTTAAGAAAATACACAGGCAGAAGTTTTATTTAACTGATGATCACTGTTGAATGCAAATCTTTTAGTTATTTTTCCAGAAATAACGAGTTTTGTAAGCCATTAAAATATTCTTTTGTGGAATTTCCCTTCCTGGATGAATGATAATATTGTTTTGTTAAATTTTTTTTCTCTTGTTGATTAGTGGGATAATATTTTTGTACTACTTTGTGTTTTTGTTTGCTTGACTTTATAGTAATGAAAACTTTTTATAGTAGTGTTTGGTACCATTGAGATTTCTTATTACTGGAAATTATATGTTTGCTTCCAGTGGGGTATATCTGGAAGTGATCACAGTCCAACCGTGTCCTTTTGATGTTATTGTTTCATTCTTTATATTGATCTTTTCTTCCCCTTTGTGTAATACCTTTCTAGAAGGATGTCTGATCTTCCCTTAATCTCTTTGATGTAGATTATATTTTTCATTCTACCAGTAAATACTAGCCAGGATTTGATGTGGCTTTGTATTTGTGTACTTAAATACAATGCCTTCAGCATTATTGTAAGAGATTTTCTAGTTTTCTCTTTTGTCCTTTTTTAAAAAAGCAGCCAGTCCAGTTTCTGGAACTATTACTTCCTGGCTATTGAACTTCAATCAGTTTTTAATGCCTTCTTATTTAATGGTAGTCTTATTTTTCTCATTTTGCATAGTTTTCACACAAATGTATTACTACATATGATTTATCGTTAATTGCATCTTATAAAAATTCTAAGCCCATCACCATGAAGTTCTAGAACAGCTCTGACATAAACTGTATCTTAAAACTAACCAGTTTTCTCTAGGTCTTAAGGGCTTTACCTATTTTATTGAGATAACTATTTCAAATGATCTCTTGGATTTTCTAATGCCTTGTCAAGAATTCAGCAAGAATTCTCAGGTTGTCTGTACTTTCTTTTAGGACTTTGGAGATCTCTCAAGTTGTATTGAGTTTTCTAATATTCCTAAGTCTATTCCTTGGTAGCAGTGAAAGTAAATGGTTTATATCTAGTTGTATTTTAAACTCTTCTTTGATCATAAATGCTTCCAGTGTTATTAATGAGTTCTGTTAGTAGTCTCTTTATAAGACCTATTTTCATGTGCTATTTTTTCCCATCAGCTGTCTATCATATGCCTTCTCTTTTCTGTCATTGCCCATAAGAGTAGGTCTATCACATCATTCGGTTTTGAGGGCTACAGTTAGACCTCTTGTCAACTCCCACTTTTATCTGTGATGGCTGTTTCACACTACTTAGTGTGCATTTAGTACTAATATCCTATAATAACTATCATGTTTGTGGTCCCTTTATCTGTACCACTTTCAGTTACTAGGGCAACATGATTTGGGTGATTGGGGGGAGCATTTTCCAAGTCACTAAACAGTCTCAAATTTTCAGTTCCATTTTTTTGAACATATTTAATTACATTAAACATCCTTCTGGGTGTGCAGCCCTTCCTTTCTGCCTTGGTTCAAGTATAGTCAGTGTTTAATTAGCCTCACTTAGATTCTTAGCAAGAGTTGCATGCAGGTTGGTCTTTGTCTAATGGCTTTTAACAACTCCTGTTTACTTTTAGCAAAAATACCTTTTGAGATCTTGGAAGCACCTTGATAGCCTTGGGCCTAACGGTTGTCTTCCTGCCTGGGAAGCAAGTAGAGGAGAGAATTTTCATTTATAGAGCTCATATTTACTGCACTGTGTGCCAAAAGTTACAAGGCATTCTTGAGGAAGAAATTCACCCTTATTTTGCAGATGAGGAAATGAAACATCATTAAGCACATTGCTCAAGTGGTGGAGCCTAGCTTTTGAATATTGACTCTATTCCTCCACAGTCTCAGTTTAGCATTGTACTAGGCTGCCTCTTTGTATTTTCAAGGCTCAACTCAAGTCTTAACTTCTCTGGTAAGCTAATTTGACCTTTTTTCTTCTTCCCTAAATTTTGTGTTTATGGCTTTACTCCCATCCCTTCGTACCTGATGTCTTCTATTATCTAATTCCTGGTCATTTCACTTGTCAGATCAGAAACTCTAACGTCTTCATTTTCCCATTGAGATTTCACTGTGTGGGACTAAGATTGTCTTGATGTATGGTCATTGGCTTGTTTCACATATTCCATTCATTTTCTGCACTGATCATTTTAGTCAAGGGTCTTTTTTGCTTTTTTTTTTCCTTCTGCCTAAAAAAGTTTAACAAAAAGTTAAACCGTTTTGTTTCAGATACACAAAGTTTGTTTTTTGGGTTTTTTTTTCTGGCATCTTTAGGATATTGGCTAGAAAGAAAGGTGGAATGGTGCAAAGCACATGGCATTTAAATTCTAAGACCTTGATCTGAGTATTAGTAAGTCACTTATTTTCTGAGCTTCAGTTTTCCTACTCTCAAATGAGGTAATGCCACGAAGTACTTTGAAATTTCAAAAGCCCAGTATAGATTTCTTTCATAGGTGTGCTGTTTCTACACACGTAGATATAACTGTGGGATGGTATTGGATATAAATACAGATACATTTTAAGATGTATATTTAATAGCATGTAATTGTTCATGTCATCAGATTATGTTCCCCTTGTTTACAGTTTTTAAGGCTCAACCATTAAGCTGTATTACAAGCCCATCAATGGACTAAGTCATTGAAAGGCATATTTAAAGTAAAATAGTCTCTTTTCTTAAGTGCAGGCTAAGAAATGCTCATTATAAACAATAAGGAAATAAAGAGAATGTAGAAGGAAGAGCTAGGTTATGTAGGTATGTGTATATGATTTTTGATGGATGCTGTTTTGTTACTTTGTGTCTGTGTTGGCAACAATCTTCTATTATAGTTTTCAATACCTTTGTGCAGGCAGACACTGAGGAAGGTCTGGGGGAACCTGGAGTTAATAAGAGATGGTATATTCTCTTAAGAGAAAGAAATAACAACACAATGTAAATTGTCCTGTTTAGAGGCATGCCTGCAGTGAAGTTGAACAAAAGAGGGCCATCTAGAGGGATCAAAGAAGCATTTTTTACTTAGCAAATACTTAAGCTGAGGTCTGCAACATGATTGGAGAAGAGATAGTTGGACCAGTGGAGAATCAGGAGCCAGGCATTGAGATGAAATAGGGCATGCAAAGGCGTGTGGAACATTGCGTCTGGTTTCAGAATTGTGAGGAACAGCCTTTATGGGGGACAGTTGGTGAAGATTAAGTTGAAGAAAGGATAAATTACCCATGAAAATGTATTGGTTCCTATCTATTCAAAGTGTACCAAGTTTGTGTGGCTCTCTGTAAGGTTATAGAAGTCGTCTGTCTAGAGTTCGCTTTGTACCAAAATCCCGTGACCATCTAGAGCAATTCTTTTTCTTCTCTTAACTGAGACAAAGGAAGGCTTTCAGTCAGTGCACCTCTAGTCCCAGGGACAACTCAAGCAGTGAAAAAGAACTGAGACACTGGTAGAGAACAACTTTGAAGATGAACGGGAGAATGACACTGAAGTGGAATGTGACAGACCATTATGGGTATACAGTTGCATACTTCAGGACCTCCTTTGGCATTCTGTCCTCAGTGTAGCTAAATGTGCCTCATTTCCCTGTACATTGGCTTACAGATAATTTGAGGGTAGACTTGGGGAAAATTAAGGTATTTCTAAAAATGTTGCTTCATTGGGGTTGGAGGTGTTGTATTGAAGAAAGACCTGTGAACCTTGTGCCAGTGCTATCTCCAGCAGCACCCAAAACACATTTTGTCAACTTCCTGTTTGTTTTTTCTATGATTTGAGTTTCTTTTCTTGCTTTTGTTGCCACTTTCACCTTTTCTTTTTTCTCTTCATAATTCATCCTTTTTCTTTCTGTGCCAGAGTTACAGCAGTGGCACTCAGGGTTACAGTTATAATTCCCCTTTGCAACTTCAGAGATACTTAAAAATTCTCAACTTCCAAATGTTTTTGTTTTGTTGTGGTTTTGTTTTTGTTTTTTTTTATGGTCCTGTACTGAAGGAGAATCAAAGTCATTCTTCCTAGGAGGGGATTTTTATAAGTATACTTATAAGATACTGGCAGTTTACCCAAAAGACAATACAGGAGGAAGAATCTTATTTAACAGGTTTGGTGGTACTAGCCTTCTTAACTGAGTAAAGTACTTTACAGAATGGGGTATATCTGTATGTATGTTTTTTTAAGTTTGCCATATAAAGCAGATGTTCTTTGTACTTTGTATTTGTAAACAATAACCAGTTGGGGGTGGGAAGATGATTGCTTTGTACAAAAGGGTTGTTTCCTGGTTCCAAAGCTTTGCTGCTGGAGATGGTAAATAAATATTGTACTGCTTCGCTGTGTTTATCCCTTCTGCTCTCTCTGTATTTGAATATAAAATACTTGAGAAAAATTGTTGCTTTTCAAAATGTTATTTTGGGGGGTGGTTTGAGCTGTAAGTTGGGCGGAAGGGGCTTCTGGTAAACAGAACTTCTGGAAATGCAAACTATGGACCACAGCTTTAGGATGGGCAATAATAAGCAGGCTTTTAAATTTGAGTTTGTATGGAATAAAGCAGTTGTTTAAGGAGTTTTATTCAAACCCAAGTGCACTGGTCAGATGGATAGCTATAATTAATGATTTACAAAGTTAATTCATTCCACTTCTGCCGTCGGTTACTCCTTTGAGCTTTCTTTAAACTTGGGATCCCTTCTTTACACAGAAGATAAGGATAATGGCCAGAATAATCATTCTCCATTGGATGCCCCGCTGACTAGTTTGTGTCAGCTGACATTCAGGAAGATACTATAACAACAACAAATAAACCTCTGCCTTGGATTATTCTCTATATCCCCTCTTCCTATCTCTCCCCCCTACCTCCTACAAAACTCATCTTATTACTGGCTTTTCTGTAGCCAGAAAAGTACTTTTGGTGAGTCAGATAGGGAACTGGGTTATTGTGATCACTTCTCTGGATAACTCTTTTTTATAGAGTATTTTCTCCTAGCTTATATCACCCTGTACAGAAGTGAAAGTCCATTTCAAAGGGAAGATCCTTTGACTATATTCATATTTCCATTTAAAAAATAACGTTGTATAATGCCAAATTTGATAGTTACTCAAAAGCTAAAGTGCTTTTTAGAGATTAGCTGTAATTTTAAAATAAAAGTTGCTCATTATAAAAAAGCCTCAAAATGGTATAATGCCACAAACTATTGTAAAGTGATAATTTCTTCTGTGAAACCCTGCTTTTTTTCAGTATTGTGCTTCTAGAAATTGCTTTACAAAAGCAGAATTATTCCTTTAATTTTGCATTTCCTTTGACTTGATCTTGGCAAATATTTTTAGAAAAGTGGTTTACCTAGTTTATGGCAGTTAAAAAGTGACTTAGAAGCTCAACTTTTGGGTGAGCAGATGAAGGGTAAAATTAAAATGAAAAATATGCCTGTATTTAATATTTGAAAAAAATTTTATTAATGAGACCTTAAAAAAGTTTATTAAACAGATTATAGCCCATTTTCTCAGCATTCAATACCAAGCCCAGGTCTTAACTACCACAGGGGAGTTGGCAAGTATATGGCACTTGGCTTCTTAAACCATAATACACTGAAGGATTGAGAGTGAATGGTTCAAGAAACAGGCATTTGTAGATGAATTCCAGAAGAAAGCCCGCCTGTGAAATTCTAGTTCTAGTAAAATTACTTTTGAGACATTATTAGCTTCCATGCGAATAAGTATATTAAACACCGAGTAAATTACCTTGGTCATTGGAAAAGCTAAGAGTCTTTCCAGTCTTATACCCCAAACAGGAAAAGAGGAAGGTCAGGTATAGCAGAATAAGCTAATATTTTTAAGTTTCAATTTTTAATTTGCCTAATTATATTTTTTAATAATTTAAGTACACTTAAAAATACAAATGAGTATGTGTACTTTGCAGTTTAAGCATATATGTATTTAAAGAAAAATACAAAATTTTAAGTATGTTTTAGCTAAATGCTTTTGGTTTAAAATAGTAATGGTGTTTGACATCAAAACTGTGTAAAATACACTTTACCAATAGTCATTAAGGCTGTTGAATGTGACTTGCCTTAGTTATGATTAATATCTCTTTCTATTAGGTTTGGAAAATAATGTAGCCTAGTCATTGGATTTCTAGAGAGAAAAAGCTGGAGAGGGTAAAAAAAATACAGTTTATTAACAGATTATTTTCCTTCTAGGTATAAAATTTCCATCTACCTTTATGAAGGATAAATGTTAAACTTATATTTTTGTAAGGGATTAATTTAAACCAAATCCATTATTCCCAAACAAAAGAGTGAGATCCTCAGTACTTTTTGTCATTATTCCATCTTGTTGGTTAAAAATTGAAATTTTGTTAATTTTATTACATATGCTGATTGTAGAAATACTAGAAAATGAAAATAAAGAAAAATTCTCCAGACAGAAAAACTGTTAACATTTTGATTTCTAACCTTCTAGATTTTATTTATGTATTTTAATAAAAGACAAGATTATTTTCACTTAAATGTAAGTGAGGGAAAGAAAACATTGAAATATATACAGATTATAGGTTCATTGATTAGTGGTGTTTTGTGCCGTTTTGTCAGTCTGTTGATACTGTATGATTTATTTTACAGTTCACATAGAAAGTAGATCAGTTTCACATTAATGTTAAAAATTTTAATAGTTTCCAGGAAATATTTGTTAGCTCCTTAAACTTGATTAGTAAGTGAAAGTATTAATTACTTTGGTGAAAATTTTGTCTAAATATGGAATTCGCATTGAATGTGACTCCTGATATTTTATGATCAGGATTTTGAGTTCATGATGAGAACTAATTTTAAGTTCAACTGAACTGATTTCAAGTTTGAGGTGTTATTGGTCTGTAGCAAAAAGAAAATTCAGGGTGGTGCAGCTAGTTTTTCATAAGGATAAATTTGTTTACTATGAGACTACTAAGGGAAATTTTAAAGTATTAGCTTGAGGTGTTGTGTCTTAACTCTTTAGAAATCATGGTGACCATTGATACTAGTTCCTTAAAAAATGCCCTTACATGGGGCGCCTGGGTGGCTCAGTTGGTTAAGGATCTGTCTTCAGCTGGGGTCATGATCCCAGGGTCCTGGGATCGAGCCCCATGTAGGGCTCCCTGCTCAGTGGGGAGTCTGCTTCTCCCTCTCCCTCTGCCTGCCAGGTCACCTGCTTGTGCTCTCTCTCTGTCAAATAAATAAAATCTTAAAAAAAAAAATGCCCTTACTTGACAAAATAAGAGAAACCTATGTCAGGCTTTCCTTTTCCTTTTGCCCCCAGTTAGGTTGACCCATTGAATCCCATCATTCCAGATTAGATCCATAGGAAAGCCCTCTTCCTTTCCTTCCCAAGTTATACCTGCTTCTAGACTTGGAATTTTTGCTGTGACTCTACCACACTACATTAAAGCTTAAACATTTTGTCCTCAAGAACAAAAGAATTCTTGCTTACTTTCACCTGTATAGGCATACCTTGGAGATATTACGGGTTTGGTTCCAGACCACAAATATTTTGTTGCTAAAAAATGCTAACCATCGTCTGAGTTTTTGGTGAGTCTTAACCTTTTTGCTAGTGGAGGGTCTTGCCTTGATGTTGATGGCTTCTGACTGACCAGGTTGGTGGTTGCTGAAAGTTGGGGTGGCTGTGGCAATTTCTTAATATAAAACAATAGTGAAGTTTGCCACATCGATCAACTCTACTTTTCAGGAATGATTTCTCTAGCATAGTAGTGTTCTACATCCCTTATTGTCACTTCAACAATCTTCAGAGCATCCTCACAAGGAGTAGATTCTATCTCAAGAAACCTCTGCTCATCCATAAGAAACATTTCCTCATCTGTTCAAATTTTATCATGAGCTTTCAGCAATTCAGTCACATCTCAGGCTCTACTTCTAATTCCAGTTCTCTTGCTATTTCTACCACATCAACAGTTACTTCCTCCATGGAAGTCTTGAACCCCTCAAAGTCCTCCATGAGGTTGGAATCAACTTTTTCCAAACTCTATTAATGTTGATATTTTAACCTCTTCCCATGAATCATGAATGTTCTTAATAGCATCTAGAATGGTAAGTCCTTTCTGGAAGGTTTTAATTTATCTTTGCCCAGATCTTTCAGAGCAATCACTATCTGTGACAGCTTACATTCTTACAGAGAAATAATGAGACTTAAATAAGATATATATAATAATATAATAATAAGACTTGAGAATTAAAGTTGTTCCTTGATCCATGGCCTGCAGAATGAATGTTGTGTTAGCAGACGTGAAAACAACATTCTCTCATTGTACATCTCCATCAGAGCTCTTGGGTGACCAGTCCATTGTCAATGAGCTGTCAGATTTTGAAGGAATGTTTGTTCTAAGCAGTAGGTCTCAACAGTGGGCTTAAAATACTCAGTGAACCATCATGTAAACAGATGTGCTCTCATCCTGGCCTTATTCCATTTATAGAGCAGAGGCAGAGTAGACTTAGCATAATTCTTAAGGGCCCTAGGATTTTCAGAATGGTCAATGAGCATTGGTTCCAACTTAAAAAAAAATCAGCTGCATTGGCCCCTAACGAGAGTCAGCTTGTCCTTGTAAGTTGGTTGTTTTTTTTTTTTTTAAGATTTTATTTATTTATTTGACAGACACAGCGAGAGAGGAAACACAAGCAGGGGGAGTGGGAGAGGGAGAAGCCGGCTTCCTGCTGAGCAGGGAGTCCGATGTGGGGCTCGATCTCAGGACCCTGGGATCATGACCTGAGCCAAAGGCAGACGCTTAACATCTGAGCCACCCAGGTGCCCCTGTCCTTGTAAGTTTTGAAGCCAGGCATTGACTTCTCTAGCTATGAAAGTCCTAGATAGCATTTCCTTTCCAATAGAAGGCTGTTTCGTCCATATTGAAATTCTGTGGCTTAGTGCAGCCACCTTCATTAATTCTCTTGGCTGGAGCTTCTGGGTAACCTGTAGCTTCTACCTCAGCACCTGCTGCTTCATCTTGCACTTTGATATTATGAGACAACTTTTCCTAAGCCTCATGAGTCAACTTCTGCTAGCTTCAAACTTGTCTTTTTCCTTACCTCTCTCAGCCTTCACAGAATTGAAGAGTTAGGGCTTTGTTCTGGATTGGGTTTTGGCTTAAGGGAATGTTTGGTTTGATCTATCCAAACCACTAAAACTGTCTTGTATCAGCAGTAAGGCTGTTTTGCTTTCTTATCGTTTATGTGTTCATTAGAATAGCACTTGTAATTTCCTTCAAAAACTTTTCCTTTGCATTCACAACTTGACTGTTTGGTGCAAGGGGCCTAGCTCCCAGCCTGTCATGGTTTTCAATCTTTTCCCACTAAGCTTAATCATTTCTAGCTTTTAAAGTGATAAATGTGCAACTCTTCCTTTCACCTAAACACT